CGCCTTGTGCAGGGGCCGTGTGAGTCTTCTCTGTCGTTCCAATTTTAGCGTGTGCTGCCGACACGAGCACTCGCACGTCCTCGTTAACACCGCCAACAAAGCTCTTCTCACAGACAAGAGAGCACCAGGTCTTTGAGAGCCTTCTCTGGAGACAGTCCGCTTTGGCTCCACGGCCCTCCCATCCACCTTATGTGGCCTTGTATTCACGGCTGTGTCCACCTCCTCCACGGTGGCATAAGTGACAGACCCAAAGCCTCTGGAGCCCTGGTGTTTGGATCTCTCTCATCACCACACAGTCTGTGAGCGCTCCCCGTTGCTCAGAACGGCCCCTCAGACTCTCATCGGTTGTTTCAAAGCTCAGACCCTCCAGGAAGAGCTTCGGGGGCTTTCGGGCTCATTGGGAGACTGACTTAGACAAGATGACCATGGGGTTGGGGGGCGGGGACTTCAATGACGCTTACTCGGTAGCTTCCCCGACGGGCTGTACCTCTGTTTTTAACTCTGGTAACTTTTGTGATTTTCTCTTTCTCTTCACAGGTCCGGGTGTGGGGTTCTTTGTTTTCCTTTCTTGGGTACTGCTGATTGAAGGACTCAGGACCTTTTTTTTCATATCTGGAAAATTCTCAACCAGTTATTTCTTCAAATATTGCTTCTCTACCATTCTATCTAATTCTCTTCTTCAGAAGCTCCATTCAGATGTATCTCGGAGCCTCAAACTCTCCTTCAGCCCCTCTACTTGCACTGTCACAGTTTTTCCCTTTTGCTCTCTGGGTGATGCTTCACTTTGTCTTCCAGATTGCTGATTCTGTCCAACTCTTAACATGTCTGACGTTTATATCACTTTTATCAGCTTCTCATTTCAATGATTACATTTTTTTATTTCCAACATTTCCAATTGGATTTCTAGTTTATTTCACGATTTCTTGTTCATTTGTATGGATAGTACTCTGTTATGTATAGTTTTATTTTAAAATCATTTTCGGTTCTATTATTTTAATTTTATCCAGAGTGAATCTATAATTCGCCTGTTGATTTTGTTGCCCTCCCAGAGCTTCATTTACATAAAATCCACGTGCATAGAACACAATGTTCACAGTGCCACCTAAAATTGCAGACCCTCTCCCCAGCCCCCAGGGCCATGGCTTCCAACAGCAGCTGCCCGGTGAGCAGCCAGCATCCACTCTTTGCTGCCTGATTTCATTGTGGTGTAGAGCCCAGGCCCAGACCCTGGTCCCAGGGAGCAAGTCCAGATGCAGCCTTCTCCCCCTTGGAGCGAGGCTTCACTGTCACCCCAGTACTGGACACGGACAGACAGATCCCAAACCACTACAGGGGAGATACTGGAATAAAGAAAAATAAATCGAATGAAGTACAGGAAAGGAAAAAAATGAACTTTCATGTAAATAAAGTTAGGATAAATTGAATAAATAAAAGTAGGACACTAATCAAAAGTCATTTTCATTCCTCCTCAGGGACCGAAATCATTAAAAAGAAAGAGCTTTTGTTTAACCAGACATGGTGCTCCTTGCACTTCTAACTCTAGTTGACTTTGAAATTAGAGGTCTGAGCTAAAAGGGGAGTAGGTGAGAGTGAAGCTCATCGCCACTAAAAAAACAACTCAGAGTGCACGTCTTACTTAAAAGTTTCATTTCTATACAAAAATAATACATCAAATAAATAAAAACATAATGTTTGCTTACAAACTCAGAAATATTATGCAGTTATAGGATTTAGTTGTTTGAAGCACTAGGGTTCAAATCTTAAAATCAATAAGTATGCTCTGAAATAAAAACAAAAGTAGGAAGTAGGAAGTGAGC